CCTTATCACTATGTCTTAACCTTTGGCAGGGTGGTAATTAAAAAAGCACAACCCTGGAACTTTTTGAGGCTCCATGGGTTTAAAAAAAGAGTTCAGTGATGTGCTCAGGTCTGGATGATAATTGGATGTCTACTCCCAGCTTTGAGTGAAAAAAAAAATCCACTCTAAACATTTTTATCTCCTCCAAGCGTTGTTGTGAATTTTAGTTTATACACTGTCACTTAGAAATGGAAAATTCAATTATTTTTTGCTTTAATGGTTTCATCAGAAGCTACTGTATGTGCTTAACAAAATAAAAGAGAAATGTGAAAGAGTATTTTATAATTTTTATATTGCAACTAAAGGCAGTTTCTGTTGTATTGTCAGAGTTAGGGTTGCTGGAAAGTCCTTTTTTATTTGCTGTTTTTTTAATGCACTATTGGTATTTTATTCAAAACTGTATAAAACACTTTTATGAAACGTTTATGAAAAAAATTGTATCTTACCATAAAATTATTTAGTTAGAAGGTAAAGTCTCTTAGAATATTACTTGACTAAAAGTCTTAAAGTATCTGACAATCACTGTACCAAAGTATTAAAAGTAATTTTTGATAAAAAAAAATGTAACAATTAGAATTTCCAAAATTTGGGGTGGTGGGGGTGACCTCCCCCTAAAAAACTTTTTCTAAAGGCCATATGACTATAATGTTATATTAAAAAGTTGAAGTTGAACATTTTATGATTTCAGCTGCATCTCTCTGCCACAGACCTTCATACTCGGCTACATACCTGCATGTCCTGCAGGAGTGTGACATGATTCATGTCATGTACAGGTGTGATGGATCACTTATAAASCAATAGACTGTCAGAATGGTATGTGTTTAGACATCTCATTCAAGCACATTAAATTCWCTGAATTTAGGAGGTCCGTATGTCTGGATAGGTTTTTAATTTCATTTCTTTTTTAACAATAGCCAGAATGAAAACAAAGCAAAATGAAATATGAGTAACAACTTTCTCTTAGTTTTTAAAATGTAAGGAATAAAAGTTGTCTGAAAAATATACTCCAGTTAACTATTGATAATATCTACRTACAGTAACAACGCATTATTATTTTGTTCCTTTACACCTTCACATGTTTTTTCAATT